TATTTCTTGCCAAGGCCGTCAGTGCAACCTGGCCTTATTTTTTTAGTACCATCGGCTCTTGATGTATCCTACCTCTTGAAATGATTGACACAGTGGCAGCAACAATGAACTTAAATGTAACAATTGTGAGGATGATGCAGGACTTACCTGGGGTAGGTCGCTAAGAGTTGGAACAGACTCAAGGTACCTAACAGCAACAATAATATTTAAGAAATATATAGAATCCATTCCCATTAAATCCTAAGCATTATGTGTTTTACCTATACTTAATTGAGAAACAGAGTAAGTAAATAAGAGAAAATATATGGCTTTTATGTATGGGAGCCCTGGTGTGGTGTTGTGGGCTAATTGCTGGACTGCAAGATCGGTTGAACCGCAAGGTTGGAGGTTCAAGCTCATCAGCCGCTCCTTGGAAACCCTATATAGGGTTGATGTGAGGAAACTGGATATAAGGCACTTAACAACAAAATGTAGGGTTTCTGGGGCTTTAAATCTTCTTGGGAGTAGGAAGCCTCATCTTTCTCCCACTTGTAGTTGAATAGATATCTTTCATAATGACTTTTTAATGTTTTTATTCTCATTTAAATATTGTATTTTTTATTGATGGAGATATGTATCTGTAGGAATTGTTGTCTGCTAACTTTATTTCTTATTTGCCTGAAAAGCTTCACAATGTAATTTATTTGATAAAATATAAGACTTTCATATCACCACAATTAGAAATTTCTCTTGGGGAAGTTATTGACTAAGCCAGGATCCACTCCTCTGAAAAAAAACTGAATAAAAGTACCTGCCTTATGATGTGGGATTGTTGTTAGAAATTCATAGTGCCTGTTACTCATTAATGTGAGTTAAATTTTTATTCTGAATAAGTAATACACTATACAAAAGGATAATGAGTGCTGACTTTGTTGTTTTTGGTCTACTCATTAAAGGACTGGTGAAATTCACTGGCTCAGGAAATGGAACATTTGTATCTAAATCTGGCAGTACCATTCACTACTTGTGTAGCCTTCAACAAGTTATATAGCTTTAACAGTCAGTTCTCTTACGTATAAAATAATAGAAAAACCCTTTCTCAAAGTTAGTATTGGTAGTTATGTGTTGTGGAGTTGGTTCCAACTCATAGCAACCCTGTATAGGGTTTCCAAGGAGTGGCTGATGAGCTTGAACCAAGACTGTAAATCTTTACAGGAGCAGAAAGTCTCATCTTTCTCCACGGAACAGCTGGTAGTTTCGAACTGCTGACTGAGGTTAGCAGCCCGAATCGTAACCACTTTATGAATGTTAATTCTTTGTTGTTGTTGTTAAGTACCATCGAGTCAATTCCTATCCATAGCGACCCAGTATAGGGTTCCCAAGGAGTGGCTGGTGAGCTTGAACTGCCTACCTTGCAATTCAAATGGGCTTGCAGTCTGGCACATTAACCCACAGCGCCACACCAGGACTCCGTTAATTCTATGGTACTTGTTAAAATTCCTCACAAGAGCTCAGTGTTAACAAGATCTATGATTAATCTCAAGGAGTTTTTTTAAGAAATCAATGTAAGTAGCAATTGACCCCAATTATGAAGTTCCCTAGGTGGTGCAAACTGTTCTCCACTGCTAACTTAAAATTGATGGCTGGAACTTGCCCAAGTATACCACAAAAGAAAACTTAACTGGCAGTCTGTTTCCGTTAAGAGTACAGTCATGGACTAAATGCAACTGTCACAACTGTAAAGGTAGAAGTTTTGTAACATAAAGGGGAGGAGTAGTAAATCTTACATTTCAGGAACAGAGGACCCTGGGACTATCAAGGGAGAAGAGCATGAGGCAATGTGGGATCCTAACCAGAGAAGCAGTGACACCAGAGATGGAGGCAGAGATGAGGACATGGAGAAATAGAGCAGTAGAGGACTCTAGACTCATGGGAAGAGAAAGGCTGTGTGCTGGTGGTCAGGAGGCAGGTTTGAAGAATGTGTCCTTTGGTTGTTTAAATGATTATATACTCCTGAGTATTTTTGTGTACAACAACAATAACAACAAAAAAACAAAACCAGAGGGTATAAAAGCAAATAACTGTTGAATGATGATGAATTGAGGGGATTGTAATCATTGCAGTGAAACAAAATACGATAGGATAAGTCCAAAACTGATGTTCTCAATGTAAACTATCACTCAGTTCACAAAAGCTGTAAAAAAAAAAAAAAAAGGAGTACAGTCATGGAAACCCTATGGAACATATATACTCTGTAGCACAGGGGATCACCACGAGTCATAACCAATTTGACAGTAACAAAATAGCAAAAAAAAAACCCACAAATTCAAGTCCTAACTCACCCAAATTATACTCCATTGTTATTATTGTTGTTGTTAAGTGCCTTCAAGTCTATTCCTACCCATAGCGACCCTGTATAGGGTTTCTGAGGAGCAGCTGGTGAGCTCGAACCACCGACTTCGCAGTTCAAATGGCTTTGCTGTCTGGTGCATTAGCCCACAGCACCACACCAGAACTCCAAATGTACCCCATTGTTGTTGTTATGAAGTGCTGTTGAGTCGATTCCGACCCATAGCGAATGTGTACAGGGTTTCCGAGGAGCCGCTGGTGAGCTTGAACTGCCGACCTTGCAGTTCAAACGGCTTTGCAGTCAGGCACATTAACCCACAGCGCTACACCAGGACTCCATACACTCCATTGTTGTTGTTGTGTGCCATGGAATTGGTTCTGACTCATAGCGACCCTGTACAGGGTTTCTGAGGCTATAAATCTTCACGGGAGCAGAAAGCCTCCTCTTTTCTCCCGCAGAACAGCTGGTAGTGTCGAACTGCTGACCTTGAGGTTAACAGCCCGATTCATAACCAGAGCTCCTTATACACTCCATTAGGCCCCCGGAAATAGCTCACTTTTTTCAAAATGTGAGGCTGATAGATAAGAGATTTGGATTTCGAGGACACTTACATCTTCTGAGGGCCTTGTGTATGTTATTTCTCATAAAAATCCCTACTGTTTGAATAAGAATCCTCATGTTTATAGGGTTAACTAACTTTTCAAGATGTATGATGATCAGTGACAGAGGGGGGGTCCAAAACCATATCTGCCTACTGACAAAGATGTGCTGCTTCACTCTGCTGTAATGACTTATCTGTAGAAAACAGATTTAATAAACACATGTCTTCCTAGAATTTTACATAGTAATGGAATAAAAGATAAAAAGGATGTCTTTGTGTGTGCGTGTGTATGGCATAAATATGTGCATATGCATTTTT